TTTACTCCCATCATTCTGCGAAAATCTACTCATTCAGAATCTGAGAGTTGTTCCGCTCAGATTCATAGACATGCGTGGGAATATTTTCTAAGTTCTTTGACGATGGGATTAATATTCATGTTTCTTTTGCTTCCAAGTTCATCTATAATTGAAACTTCAATCTGAATACTATTTACAGAATGTGTCAGAGCTATTTTCCGGGTTTGCTGACCATTGTCTGCATGTGTTTTTGCCTTACGTTTCGTCTACTACTGCGGTATACATTACCATAGGTGATGAGACAACAGACGGAGTGCTATAGTCTATATTACATCGTTGGTTTGGGCTCAGCCACCGTATTTACCAGATTTGGTCCCCTTCGATTTTTTTCTGTTCTTAAGATTGAAAAGACCCATGAAAGAACTGAGTTTTGCGACGATTAGGAGATTAAAACTGAATCGCTGACCTGCCAAAAAGTGCATATCAGAACTGCTTCGAGGGGCTACTGAGCGGGGACAAAACAGAAATTGATGAACACATTTTGTTTGGAAAAAATGAAAATTCAGCTCATTTTTTGAACAGACAACTGTCGATTTAAAAGGATTGCAACAACACTTTACCACATTGATGGTTATTATAATGGCTCTTCTGATTGAAGACTTCAGATTTACCTTTATTAGACAAATTTTGTCGTTGGTTCTTCCACTTTCGTATGGCCAAGTAGAGAGGGGTCGTTTAAGCAAAGTAAAAGTGGCACAAGAACTGAACCCCGCGGTACTACCAGAGTTGATAGTTCTTGAATTAAAGAAAATACCGTTAATCACCATCCAATGAGAGATCTATCTAAAGAAAAACTAAAATAATCGTGGTAATACAAGGATCTTTTGGTTTGGGCATATTTAGGTATCGACAAAAAAACTACACTCACTTGTATAGATGTTTTATTCAAACATAAACTAATTGTATTTACAAATTCTAAAATAAAATAAGACATTCACAATTTCTTATCTCATGTAATTAGTATACAAAATGATTCGTAAAGGTAAAACAGTTGAATATTTAAATGGAATTCTTTTCAACAAACGAGTCGATAGGAAATGTAGCGTCCGGCTGTTTCCGAAGAACGGATGATTTTAACCACCTGCAATAAGGAAGAAAACCATTAAATTTACATGAAGTCTGGGCCGTACTGGGTCTAGGTCTACGTGGTACTACATATGGCAACATCTATACAGTTGGATCGACGAAATAATACATAAATAAATAAATCAATAAATAGCACCATCATCCGAGGGGTCATCGATTACAGGATAAAGAAAAAACTTTTGTCTAATTTCAACTAGGTTTATTATTTGTTAGGACCAGTTTCGGTTTGTTAGATCATTCGAAAATCACATGCAGTTATCAGGGTCATTCCTAAAAATGCCTCACAGGTTCCACTCTTTTTCTTTCAAGTTGGCTGTTCTGGAAAAGCGGGTGCCAATAAAATTGAAAAAAGTGAAGAAGGAGAAGAAAACAAAGAAATGGAGGCTGTTGAGGAAGAAGACGAGGCACTGATTATGCAAACAATTATTTCAGTAAATGAAGCAACTTTGAAATATTCTGTATATGGGTAAAGTAAAAAAAAAATGGAATAATCTTGATAAGCAGTGAAATATAACAAACGTTGAGTTGAGTTTCTTGGAAAGTACGTTATTTTCTTTGTTTTTATTATGAAATTACAGAAATGTACATATTTTACAAAAAAAGCGTCGTGAGTGGTAAAACTGTAGAGGATGTCAACATTGAACAAAAGTATGAGCTGGTTGAAATATAATTAATTCAAATGTTACTTGAGTTAGTTGAGAATGGTCTAAAAAACCGAAACTGCTAGTAACAAATAATAAACTTAGTAGAAATTAGACAAAAATTATTTTCTTTACCTTATTTCCGATAAGACTTTCTACAAAATAACCAGGTCATCAATCGAACAAGTAAGTTGTCATCCTCATCTTCAAAGTTGTCTCGATTGTCGAAATAATTGTTTATTAAGATTCCATATGTGGAAAATTTATCTATAAAACTTGGCCTTTTCAAATGAGTATCCCGTTGGGAATTAGTTCTTCCAACATAGTTTACCAATCGAACTGTGGAAACTATTCCCACATGCTATGTTGGCCAAACTGGACGTTATTTCACAACACGAGTTTCTGAACACACGAGACATTCTAAATAACAGAATAAAAAGAACCCCACAGTTCTTATTGATCATGAAAGAGACCTGAGCACGTTTTTAATTTTGAATATCCGTCGATTCTAGATGTCCAACCATTTTCATCTAAAAGACTTTGCAGCGGAATGATTCATATTCTCAACACTAGAAGGGATGTCGACGATCTCAATACTGCATTTTTCAACTTAATCAGTGAAATGCGGAATTAATTTCTTTTCTCTATTCTAATTATTTCTTACATCAATAAAAGCAGGTACCACCTTATTAAAGATATAAATGAAACCATTCGTTTGTTTCATGTCATTGTGTTGTGTTGGTCTTAAATGTTTTGTTTGCTAAAGTATCTTTTATATCTCATTTATATCTAACAAGTCTGATTTCAACTTGGAAAAACTCATTTTTGCTATACTGTTTTATTATTACTTCTAACAACCTTTAAAACGACAACAGTTATAAAATTTGAGGCTGGTCTTTTTATAAAATTTATTGTTACAGAGCCTTGAAGGTGAATTAAATTAAATTCGAAACGTTGGCAAGAAAACAATTGTTTTTCTGAGATGATTTAGTTCTTTTCTCCAGCGAACATTTCTAAATATTGAAAAATATCGCATATGATGTATGATGTGATTGCCACTTGAATGTTTACAATAAATGTATTGAAGACGCCCGAGGAAGATATTATGTCTTGAAACACTATGTGCAATTTCACAATTTTAAAAATTTTGCTATCAAGCATATGCTTTCGTGTTCGGAAAAAAGATGGGATCTAAGAATTATTGAAAAATTCTACTAAACTATATCCATCCAACAAACAAAGTAACCCAAAGATGAATGCGTGATCAAAACATGATCACCACGCACATTTGCATCTGTTGGGTAAAATGTAAAATGGAAGCGATGCAAATACTCTTTGAAAAGCATTTTTTTGTGGAGACCTCGATACTTCTTGCTGTTGATTTGCTTGCTAGGAATCCATATTGAAATGAATTTGTTTATTTTTTCAGATTGTTGAAGGTTATATACCCAATACGCAATACTGCAATCGTACGAAGCATTACAGTAATTTGCACATGGAACTTGCCTCAAAACCTTTTCCTGTGTGCTCAAATACAAAGTTCTTTCCATTAGCAAATAGATTTTTCCTGTAGCAAAAACCTATTTTGTGTGTGTGTGTATCTATAAAATAATCTGAAGTCCGGGTTGAACTGCCTTTGGTGTTTTCAATTGTTCGACGTTTCGGCATTGCCCTGTTTATCTGGAGTTCTAAACTCCAGACATCACCAGAAGATGAGAAATGATATTTTGCCGAAACGTTGGGAAAACAAAGCGAAACCCAGAAAAACAACTCACTGTACTTTGTCCGTGAGAATCTTTGAATTAACATAACATAATTCTATTGAGGAATATCTCATTTCAAATTATTCACAGCCCGACACTGTAGTTTTTTCCTCTATTGTTTTCATCCTTAAATTTCATTCTATAAATGTTTTTAGTTTTTTTTATAGACTCTATATATTCTGGACAATAACAATATCTTTTTGAATCTTATGACAATAAACATTATTATGCAACATAGAGAAAAATTGAAGCGAGAAAAACATTTTTCTAATAAATTGTACAGGAAATTGAAAAAGTTGCATCTCAGAACCACACTGTATAGATGTCTGTGTGGAATCCTATAAATACCTACATCCAGAAAGACAGTTCTTCCAGAACACCTGCATATTTCCTGCATCGTAGGTTCTGGTAAATACTTGCAGGAAAATAATTACTTCCCCGGCTAATACCACGCTGGATATTGAATTATATCTGACTCGATAAAGTAAATATTTCGAATTGAAGTTTTGAAAACAATTACCTCTCTCAACAGACGTACACTGTAGAATTGTAGGATCTGGTGAATGCTTGCTGAAATCGACTACTTCCCCGACTAATACCATGCTGAACATTGAATTATATTCGACATACATTTATTCAAGATACCCCACAGATGTTAGTCTTGCAGAATCCAGCCTGTAGGTGATCTTTTTGAATAATTTCAGCATGGTTCTTCTGCTGGATGAACGAGGAAACATCTGCGAGACTAACTTATGTGAGGTACCTCGCATAAATGTGTGTAGAGTATAATTCAATATTTAGCGTGGTATTAGCTAGGGAAGTAGTTGTTTTCCTGCACGTTTCTATGAGAACCTATGATTTGGGTAGTTGGGAGAGACGAATACTTCGAGATATTATTTTGAAATATCTTATACAGGTATGTGTGTAAAATTATGAAAAAAATGTTCTTACCTGTCCTCTTTTCAGTCCAAAATACCTTGCAACAGGATCACCAGCCTGTATCCTCATCAACATGTTCTCTTTCAATTTGCTGAAAGAGATTGAAATGTTGAATGACATTTGTGTGTAGAAAATAAGAGTTTTTTCATCTTTTTGGGCATTCTCGCCACAATTAAAAAAATTGAAAATTATAATAGAGAACTTCACATAGAAGCACAAATTCATCTTTCAAACCAGTACAAAGTTCTCCATTAACATTTTTCTCAGACCAAGGAAAGTGAAAATAAGACAAAAATACTCTGAATGATATTTTTTCAAAATAGCAATGGTAGACACAAGAGAAGAATGTACATACAATAATATACTTACTATCTAGCTAAAAGCTCCTGTTTTTCTTCTGGCGTCATCACAACATGCTCAGGAACCAATTCGTGTTCCGTTATATTAATCAGCAATTCTGATTCGAGGAACTGTTCCAGGATGTATTTGGGAGCCATGTCCACCAAAGATTGCTTGGCCGAAGGCGTCATACCTGCCTGCACGACAATAATGGCTCTGTGAATGTTTTCATCCTGCATACGCGAGCAGTATGTTTTGATGATCCTGATTCCAATTTTCGGCTCGTCTGGGAAGAACACGAACATCTGGTCCGTGGGGTCGTCATTGTGGGCGACAAGAACAATCAAGTCACTTCTCGAAGGACGTTTTTCACTAAAAGACAAGGCTTGAATATACCCTAGATTGATTTGAGCAACACCTTACCTTGGCTTATCCCCAAACTGATCTTTAAATTGTTCCAGAGTCTGATCCAATTCATCTTGAGTGACAAGATAGCCTCTGTCGTGACATAACTACGAGAAAATACAGGGTGAACTTCAAGATACGTTAAAATTATCAAAACATACTTGCATGACAGTTTTCCTTATTCTCCACAGTTTGTATGTTTCTGCTTCATCATCCATATTTCAAAATTATAACTGTTGTACAATCAATAAGGAAAATACTTTTTTTTCTATGCTTTCAGATCTTGAAACAAATACGTAACAATTCACACTGCAAGTCAAAAATTAATAAAACTATAACAAGAAAACGGGAGTAACCTCTTTCTAATAGGACAACCACAAATATGTTTTTCTTCTTCTTCTTAATTTTGGTCCCAGCTTCCAGATTTTGGGGCTATTATGACCAGTGCCACTACCACTAGCCTAATTTCTCTTTCCATCTCTTCTAATTCATGACCATTACTTTTAAAAAAATTAGGCAATATCAGTATATAATTATACCATCTCTTCTGAAATTTATAATATCTCTCCACATTGATAAAGCTGGGTATTCCTTCTTCAGATAAACTGCAAATAAATAGCAATAAACTATTTTGTAACTCAATTTTTATATATCTATGAACTTGGTTCTTCCAGAAATAGAAAAATCGTACTTGCGATTATATAGCTTTCCTCAAGAAAAAAAATTCAACAAAGTTGTGAATACAGCTTGAAAGCAGAAATAAAACTTTGATTGACCGTATTTCACTTGACAAAAGAGAAGGCATTTCGAATAGCACGAGTGACTATCCTATTGAAAAAAAACTAATTCAATTTTAGTGCCATTTTTTAATTTTTAAAGTTCCAGTTTATCGTAATTAGGATAATTGATTGATCGTTAGATTAGTAGCCAACATTATAAAATAAAATTCCTCCTCTTTATTCAAGCCAAATGCCACAAATTCCCTCAAAATATACACATGATATTTACAAATTTCAAGATCTGCCGAAAAATGTACTCATGGCGATTTTGGTGGTTGAATGGGTAGTTATTTCCTTCAGTTTAATTTTTTTTTCAGAAATTATTTTCATTGATACTGTTGATCATTACTACCAATGAAGGTATGATGTTAGTTGAACGCGCCTAGAATAAAAATAAAATTGACTATTATCATTGACAGTGATCAGAAGAGATATAGTAGTTTAAAGTAGTTTTTCTGTTATCATTGTGGATGGATTATGATTGAAGTCGATTGTATCATTATTGATCAATATTTACAATGTAGTCCGAGGCACTGGCACTTGGTAAGTTTGAATTGTAGACTATATTTAGAACAATTTGTTTGGAATAAATATAATTTGGAAAAATAAAATGTATGTGTTTATTCTATTGCTATTAAAAATTATTAATAATTGATGAAATTCTTTTAAGTTTGAAACGTTATTTTCTAGTCATTAGTTGTTAATTCGTTATCTTTATCGACGTCAATGAGGGTCGGTAGGATATTTCCTGTATCTGTTCTCAGCTCAGCTGCATTGCGAGTGATAATTTGAATGATAATTTGATTGTTTGAACAATTTCATTAATAATAATTCTTGAATGAGAAGCAACGGCCATAGAAATCAGAGAGCCACAGATACACAGAACTATAACTTAGTTATAGTTACACAAAACTACACCGAACACAGAACTATAACTTAGTTATGGTTACACAAAACTATAACTTAGTTATAGTTCTGTGCATCCGTGACATTCTGACATTTGACACCTCACATTCTTTTTGAAACGTCGTTTTGTGACGTTCTTCCTAAATATTATTTGGTAACAAGAAATCGGCAATCATCGCTGATTTGATAGTTTATTTCCATTCGAAAGCCTGGTAAATATTAAGCAAATATGCCACCAAAGTTCGATCCCACTGAAGTTAAGTATGGTATGTACAAACATCTCGTAAATCACTGGAAAACAGTAATGTAACCTCACTTCTATCATTTTCAGTTTACTTAAAGTGTGTTGGGGGCGAAGTGGGAGCTACATCTTCCTTGGCTCCTAAAATCGGTCCTCTAGGATTGTCCCCCAAAAAAATTGGAGATGATATAGCCAAGAATACAGCCGACTGGAAAGGTCTGAAAATCACTGTCCAGCTGAAGATCCAAAACAGACAGGCCACCATTTCCGTTGTACCTTCTGCTGCCTCTCTCATCATCAAGGCCTTGAAAGAGCCTCCAAGAGATAGGAAGAAGCAAAAGAATAGTAAGTTTTTAATGTTGTTTACAAATTTTTTCTCATAATTTTGAAATGGAGTTTTGATAGAACTAAGGATATGCACATGTGCGAAAGCAATTAACACTTTCACCCTGAACAGTTGGCTTTTCAAATTGAAAATGAAAATTGAAGTTTTGGCTTTCTACTTCTCCATCTCCATACAAATCTCCATTTAGATCATACATTGAAGTTACTTTTAGATAGAAACACAAAGAAAAAGCTTTCCTGAAACTACTTTCACATTTGAATTATGGCGAACTTTGAAGTTTTTTGATATGACTTGTCTTATTACTTCATCAGCACCGTTCTGGATAATATTACAAGACAAAGCACTTGATTCTTTTATGAAATTAATACTTTACATCACGGATCAGATGTACTACTCATGTCACAATGATAGTATGTAAAGGCATTCATCTGCTCATTTGATTCAATCCCAGCCACAGGAATTTTGTTTAAATTGATAGGGAGCGATATTTTTAGGGAATATCAGTTTGTAAAGAATTTATTTTGGAACTCAATTACTTATTTCCGGGTATAGTTTCTAGTCAGTGCAGAAAACTGACTTCACAGCGACTTGACCACATGTAGGAAACCTTTCTGAGAGAAATGCTGTCAACTACAGTAAAATATTAACAGTTCCATCTTAAGAACATAGTCTCAAGTGGGAAAGAATCATCCTGTGTACAAAAACTAATAAATAAATATTTCAAACAAGATTTGAAACATTCATCTCTCCTAACGCCCCTACCCAGACGGATCTGGTGAATGCCTGCCTGAAAACAACTACTTTTCTGGTCAATATCACGACGGGCATTGGATTATACTTGTTCCAACATTTGAGCAAGTTTCCTCATAGTATACATGAACCTAGATATTATTAAGTTGCCGTGAAAATGTGTGAAATGTTGTGAAATGAGCTAGGGAAGTTTTTTTATCAGACCTATTTCATAGGGATACTGTGATAGTATTTATTTTAAGAACGGAGTGAAATGAAGAACTATTACTTGTGATGCACTGTTTGGAACCTTTGATTTAATTCCGGTGGTAGAGTATTGGAAACTTTCATCCAAAGTATTGCATTGTCTTTGTGGTTTATCTCTAATAATTGTGTATTTACGTCGATATTCTGTATGATGTCTTAAAAAATGTACAGTTAATTATGAACATATTGAAATTTTTAGAAAAGTCTCCCTAGAATACCGATTGATTTGCAATCCCCACCAAAATTTCAAATATTGTTGATGGCATATTCAATATCATCAATCATATATCTTGGTTCTTCATTGGAAATAGTTCCGGTCCTGAAACTTTTCGAAAATAATCGAGTTTCCATTGAATATGGAGTATTTTTCCATATTTTTAAAAACCACTAAGATTTAAAAGCAAAATAGAAATTACTAGAATACATCTAAATGATCTAGGATCATTTAGATCTTTTATATTTATAACATAGTGTGGCATCTTTCAGATAATAGCTGCAGTTATTTGGAATTCTAGTTCTAAAATTTTTAAAGCCATGCAGCGCCATCTATAAGACTATTCAAGAATTAATTTTTTTCATTATTTATTATTGCCATCTCTGAGACAGTAGCGAAAGTAAAAGTTAATACTACTGTTCACACTTTTTTCGAAGTGATCGCCATCTTTGAGACAGAAAACAATAGTTTTCATGTTCTTTTCGCCATCTCTGAGAAAGTAGCAGAAGTAGGTTCCTATTTTCTGTTTTGACTTTTTATAGTGTAATTTTGTGCCATCTTTGTGTTAAAAACTTAAGTAGATGGTTTTCCTGTTCAACTAAAAATTATTTTCAATAAATGAGTTCTCAGTCTATTGAGAAAAATCATGTGAAATTTAAGCTGAATCACGAACATGGACTTTATTTATATATCTATCCAACATTGCAGATAAATTATCATGGTCGATATTCTTGTTGAAGCTAAAAATGATAACATGAATAAAAAATAGGTAACTTTTATTATACCAATAATTCTTATCAATAAAATAAATCAATAAGTAGCACCATCATCTAAGTTGTCATCCTCATCTACATAGCTCTCTCCATTATCAAAATAATTGTTTGCATAATCAGTGTCGTCATCCATTTCTTCATCTTCTTCCTCATCAGCCTCCATTTCTTCATTTTCGTCTTCTTCGTCATTCCTTTCAATTTTAACGGCACCAGATTTTACTTCCCGCTTTTCCAGTTCAGCCAACCTAAAAGAAAGAGAGTGGAACCTGTGAGATCGAAAATTTAAACCGAAACTTTTGAATTAATTATATTTGAAACCAGCTCATACTTTTGTTCAATGTTCACATCCTTAACAGGTTTACCACTCACGACGCTTTTTTTTGCCATCGACTTAGGCCACAGTTCTTTGGGAAACCGTTTCCAATCAAACTTTTCCTTGGCACTAGGCAGCTGGGCTACGAGTTTATCGATAGCTCGTTCGGGCTGATTTTTGTTTTCAGGCAATTTTAGGAATGACCCTGATAACTGCATGCGATCTATGAAGTTCTGTCGGACAATTATAAGATAGTCCATTTCTGAAGATTGCTGAAATATTGAAAAAGCAATGAAATGCTATATTCAATGTTCTTTATTTGTAAAATATGCACATTTCTGTAATTTTATAATAAAAGAGTGCTTTCCAAGAAAATTACTCAATGTTTTTTGTACACAGGGTATTTCAAAGTTGCTTCATTTACCAAAATAAGTCTTATGACTATATCGAGGAGAAACACGTATTGACAAAATGAATATTTAGGATTTGGTAGATGATTGTCAGAAAACATAATTTTCCAGTTTACTACCATCATGTACATAATCTCGCAGACTATCCTCTATGAGGTATCTTGCATAAATGTTTGTCGGACATCATTCAACTTCCATCGTGGCATGAGCCGGAAAAGTAGTTGTTTTCTGGCAGGCATTCACCAGGTCCCACTGTGAAGGATAGTTGTGAGAAGTGAATGTTACAAAATTTCATTTTGGCGTATTCATTTTCTTAACACTTATGTACCTCTCCTACATATAGTTATCATATTTATTTTGATATGTTGAAGTGTTGGTACACGAGATGCTTTTCTCTGCTTTTGGGGCTTTGCTCACAAGATGAAGCTGTTACTAGTTGATGAATATTTTTCTCGGAAGAAGATTTCATACATGCAGTTGAGCCATGCTTGAAGTCAGTTGATTCTTAGGCACACTAAGAATTTTTCCTCCACTGACGAGAGGTAGTACCTTGAAACTGACCTGTAGATAATCTACTTGAATGATTTCAGCATGGTTCTGCTGCTGGAAGAACGAGAAACGTCTGCCAGACTAACCTCTTTGAGGTATCTTGCATAAATGTATGTCAGATATAATTAAATGTTCAGTGTGGTATTAGTCGGGGAAGTAGTTGTTTCCATAAGCATTCACCGGGTCCTACAATCCTACAGTGTACGTGTTTGGGAGAGGTAATTTTTTTGAAATTTCAAATCAAAATATTTATTTTATCGAGTCATTTATTTCAAAAACTTGAAGAACCCGTCAAAAGAAGAACTTCAATAACAATTTTAAAACAGTTTTAATGAACCATCTTTCATTCTATCCCAAATACCATCTACATAAAAATTTGCATAGTGACAGAGTAAAAACTCAGCGGTCTTGGTGTACTACTATGCTTATCTAGGTACAGCTTATTTTTTGTGTTACTGTAGTTTTCAGTACAAATTTTGGTTAAATTACTTTACCATGCAACTTTTATATTAGTGATTTTTGGTACATCAACTTCTTTTGACGAGTTCTTCAAGCTGTCAAAAGAATTGACTCAACCGTGAAAATATATAACAAATAACACGTTCGAGCTGTTCTTCTATATCTAATTCATAGAGACGATATCCTCATTACAAGGTCGAAAAAACAAGATACTGAGCAATCATGCAGGAAATTTGCGATCTAGGCTTACCTCTAGAGGTACTGGTCGTCTCTTTAACGGAGGATACAGCGGTGGTGGCTCCAGCACAGGTCCCGGTAACGCTTCATTAGACGCGATACCCATGGCAGTTAGCTGGTCCTTGGTGAAGGTTTTTGTAACCCCACCTCGGCCTCCACGGCCCCCTCTTCCTCTACCACTCATTTTATTAGTTTACAACTTCGATCTTTTTGAGACCCTCTTCGAGATTTCTCATCTCACCGTGCTCCTTTCTGAAAGACTCCTGAAACAAAGTGAGGGAATCAAACTACTGAATATTGTGGGTTTCTATTCACTTGATATCAGTACATTAATGAAAGCATAACTGACCACTGCCTGTCTGTTCATTTGTGCAAGCTAATCTTAAAAACATCGCAACCGATTCAAGTGTGGTTTTCACTAATCCATTGTGGTGTGTTTCATTAATATTTAATGTTTGATTCATTTCAATTGTTCATTAATACAGTTATGGAAAAATACTGTTCAGTCCTCATTAACTATTTACCGGATCATATCATCGAAGTTTCTACAGAAGTATTCCATGATCAACTCAGTCAAAAACCTTTGCCAGCGGCCTTATGATGTTAACTCACATACAAAATTGCATTACTGGTACTTACCAAATCGTATATCACCTTGACGACTAAGGAACACCCAGGACAGGTGGCTGTTTCCTCCCCAGCGAGTAACTCTTCCTAAAAATAAATATGAAGTTGAATTGACACCTTAACCTTATATGATGGAAATTGCCGATACTTGATGAAAATTCATAACGTTTTTGTAATGCTCTTTAGTGTTGTTTTTTTTTGAATGTCTTAACCCTGCCTTATCAATACCTTCGTTATTTCAAATCTGTCTCCACAAGGGCAAGGAAAATGATAAACACCCTCTTCCTCGTCGTATATAAAGTCTTCTATTTCTACTTCATCGTGAAAAACACTCATGTTCACGGATTTCTAAAACTTTGAGGTTAAATTAATTATTATAGACTTCTTCTTCTTCTTCTTAGTTTTGGTCGCAGCTTCCAGGTTTGGCGGCATTAACCAGTGTTGACTGTAACAAAAACTTTGTCCGGGGAGTACAAGAGTCTTGTATTACATAATATTGTACTTTCATTTATCTTGTTGATTTGTTTTCTCTATTTATCCATCTCCTCATCAATGTATTCTTCTTATACTAGACCGTTATTTATAGCAGGCACAGGCTCTTCTCGCTTCAGGGCAGCTGAAGTGAGTTTTTTTATTCTTACCATTGTATAAAACTTTTTCCGACGTGATAATGCGCTATCTCTGAGATAAAAAGCTAATAAAAACGACATTCTAGAGTTCTTTTTTATTGTCCTTTCTTGCCATCTTTGGGGTAGTAGCGAAGATGAACTTATATTTTTCTAATGAAATGCTGCGTCGTCTTTGGAACAGTAGGACAATGACAGTAGCTAATATAATTAAATTCTACCTTTCATTTTCCGTTATCACTAGGACGCTTGTTCTCCCTTTTTCCAATGTGATCGCTATCTTTGAGACGAAAGACAATAGTTTTCATGGTTTTTTCCATTATCTTCTTGCCATCTCTGAGAGAGTAGCAGAAGTAGGTTCCTATTTTCTGTTTTGACTTTCTCCAGTGTAATTCTGTGCCATCTTTGTGTTAGAAACTTAAGTAGATAGTTTTCCTGTTCATTTCAATTAAAATCTATTTTCGACAAGTGTTAGCTAACTCAGTCTATCGAGAATAATTTTGGTTTTTATGATAGGCGAAATTATTGAATATGAGAAGTTACTTTGTGAAAAATACTTCGAATCTACGCAGCAACTTATCGGGGTAAACTAAAAAGTTTGCCCTTGCTAAACGTGTATAGAGTTCTCCATTACAGTTTTTATATTGTAGAATATAAAAATACTCAAAGAAGGTTGATAAAAAACTGCTTTTTCTTCACAAAAATGTATCATTAAGAATTTTTTCATTAACTATTATCGCCATCTCTGGGATAGTAGCGGAAGTAAAAGTGAGCTAATACTTTGTTCACACTTTATTCGATGTGATCACCATCTTTGAGACAATAGCTTTCATGTTTTTTTCGCCATCTCTGAGAAAGTAGTAGAAGTTAGGTTCCTATTTTCTGTTTTGACTTTTTATATTATAATTCTGTGCCATCTTTGTGTTAGAAGCTTAAGTAGATGGTTTTCTTGTTCATTTCAACTAAAATTTATTTTCGAGTTCGGTCTGTTGAGAAAAATTATGTGAAATTCAAGCTGAATCACGAACAGGGGCTTAATGTATATATCTATCCAGTACTGCAGATAAATCATAATGGTCGATATTCCTGTTGAAGACTTGAAGTTAATCACAACATAAATATAAAAATAGGTAACTTTTATTATACCAACATATCTTATCTATGAAATAAATCAATAAATAGCACCATCATCCGAGGGGTCATCGATTACAGGATAAAGAAAATAACTTTTGTCTAATTTCAACTAGGTTTATTATTTGTTAGGACCGGTTTCGGTTTGCTAGACCATTCGAAAATCACATGCAGTTATCAGGGTCATTCCTTAAAATGCCTCACAGGTTCCACTCTTTTCATTTCAGATTGGCTGTTCTGGAAAAGCGGGAGCCAATAAAATTGAAAAAAGTGAAGAAGGAGAAGAAAACAAAGAAATGGAGGCTGTTGAGGAAGAAGAGGAGGCACTGATTATGCAAACAATTATTTCAGGAAATGAAGCAACTTTGAAATACCCTGTATATAGGTAAAGTCAAAAAAGTTGGAATAATCTTGATAAGCAGTGAAATATAACAAACGTTGAGTAATTTTCTTGGAAAGTATGATATTTTCTTCATTTTTATTATAAAATCACAGAAATGTACTTGTTTTACAAATAAACTTGAATATAGCATTACATTATTTTTTTTCAATATTTCAGCAATCTTCAGAAGTGGAATACTTCAAATTATCTAACAGAACATCATAGCTATCGATAAACTTGTAGCCCAGCTGCCTAGTGCCATGGAAAAGTTTGATTGGAAACGGTTTCTCAAAGAACTGTGGCCTAAGTCGATGGCAAAAAAAAGCGTCGTGAGTGGTAAACCTGTTAAGGATGTGAACATTGAACAAAAGTATGAGCTGGTTGAAATATAATTAATTCAATTGTTACTTGAGTTGAGTTACTTGAGAATAGTCTAAGAAACCGAAATCGCTCGTGACAAATAATAAACTTAGTAGATATTAGACAAAACTTATTTTCCTCACCTTATTTCCAATAAGACTTTCTACAAAATAACCAGGTCATCAATCGAACAAGTAAGTTGTCATCCTCATCTTCAAAGTTGTCTCGATTGTCGAAATAATTGTTTACATAATCAGTGCCTCGTCTTCTTCCTCAACAGCCTCCATTTCTTCATTTTCTTCTTCCTCATCATTCTTTTCAATTTCAATGACTCCAGATTTTTCTTCCCGCTTTTCCAAATCAGCCAACCTGAAAGAAATAGAGTGGAATTTGTTTGATCGAAAATTTAAACACATCAACCATCAACTTAGGCCACAGTTCTTTGAGAAACCGTTGTTCGGGTTGATTTTTGTTTCCAGGCATTTTTAGGAAGGACCCTGATAACTGCATGTGATCTATGAAGCCCTGTTGGAGAACTAGAAAATAGTCCATTTCTGGGGATTATTTCTAGTATAAGTGTATCGAGTGTCCAGAATTAGATTAAAACCTTCTCATCGTTCAGAGCCAAATATTAGGAAAATCAGTGTATCTGATTAGCTTAATCTAGTTTTTAGCATATTATGCTTGGGTTCTCTGGGGCTCTAAATAGGAGCCTCTTTTTTTATGTGTGTCAATGATTTACCTGACAACAAAAATTCAGTTTCTTTTTCTGATTGTTTGGGCCATTACTTGATGCAGATCCATAGTAATTTAATAAACTACAACAGTAATTCAAGTCACTGTTGATAAAGCTACTGTGTTAGCGAAACATATCGTGATATATTTATTCAAATAAAGTTTGTGGAGATTAAATCGTGAGGTGTAGTAAGTAGTAGGAATCAGTTATTTCAACCAGCTACCAGACAATATACAAACCTTGCCACTAACTAAATTCAGAGTTGAACTGAGAAGTAGTTAAGTAGGATATGTGCCTATATATTATGATAGCATAAGGCACATCTTTGAACCGTTCTTCTATATCCAATTCCCAGAGACGATATCCTTATTATAAGATCAAGAACAAGGTACTGAGCATTCATGTATGAAATTTGTGTTCAAGGCTTACCTTTAGAGGGGAGGGTCTTTCAGGCTAATAGGCTATAGGATATAGGATACAACAGTGGTTGCTCCAGCACAGGTCCCAGTAAGACTTCATTAGAAGCGATACCCATGGCAGTTAGCTGCTCCTTGGTGAAGGTTTTCGAGACCCCTCCACGGCCCCCTCTTTCTTTACGATTAATTTTTTTAATTAGCAACTTTGAGCTTTTTGAGATCCTCTGCAAGATTTCTCACCTCACTGTGCTCCTTTCTGAAAGACTCCTGAAATAAAGTAAGAGAATCAAACTACTAAAAACCAATACATTAATAAGTGTTACTGAGCACTGCCTGTCTATTCCTTTGTGAATGCCAATCTCAAAAACGCCTCAACCGATTTAAGTGCGGTTTTCACTTATCTATTGTGATTAATGTTTGATCAATTCCAATCGGTTCATAAATATAAAAGTTATGACAATTTGAAAATCATATCAATTATTTGTTGAAAAGAAACTATAAAAATACTGTGCAGTTCATTTGGCTTTTCATTTTGACTAATACCACTTTCAAATTGCAAACTACCAAATGGGTATTTGAAGGCTACTATGCTTCTTTTTTTATATCAAATGACAGTAGATTTAGGGTCCTATCATAACTTGACGAGAAGTATGTGGAACTCTATAACTTATTCTAACATCTTTTGACATTTCACAAGTTCTCATTACTTAGTTACCGCATCATATCATTGAAGTTTCTATAGAAGTATTCCATGATCAACTCAGTCGAAAACTTTTGCCAGGAGCCTCATGAGGTCAACTCACATAAAAAATTGCATCACTGGTACTTACCAAATCGTATATCACCTTGACGACCAAGGAACAACCAGGACAGGTGGCTGTTTCCTCTCCAGCGAGTAATTCTTCCTGAAAATGAATCTGGAAGTTAAATTGCCATCTTAACCCTACATTTTCAATACCTTCGTTACTTCAAATCTGTCTCCACAAGGGCACGGATAATGATAAACACCCTCTTCCTCGTCGAATTTAAAGTCTTCTATTTCTACTTCGTCGTAAAAAACACTCATGTTCACGGAAAATTCTGGAAATTTGAGCACAAACCACTTACTCTAGTAGTTTGTGAATTTGAGGTTAAGGTAAATGTTTTTGAGGTTATGATTGTTACCGTGTTCGGTTTTAAACATCTGGAGCCGATGACGTATTTCTAGGAGATCACTGTGAGTCATGATTTTTTATTGGAATGCAAACATTTTCACATTTGATTAGTGTTGAAGGAGGCATCATTATTTCAATAAGAATGTGTCATTAACTCTTTTCTGAAGATGTGCTGACAAGAGGCAACATTTCACCAAAGTAAATTTTCCAAAGAAAATACCTAAACTCGACCAATTGATCCAAATTATTTAAGGAACATTTCATTGTGACGTTTTCACTAACTGAGACAACAGATCTGCATTATCGAACGCTTCCCTAGCTAGCAGAGCTAATCTAGCGCTCAGATTTAAATTTAACGAACACAAAACATCATAGCTCCTAACCTTAAAAAATATCACTGACGTGATAGTTCCAAATGTGGGCACCATCGGTGAGGCTATCAGAGGGCGCTGGAGAGCGAGTGATCAAGAAGACAATTTAACATTTAAACATCGATTTAATTGCCTCAGAGGTAAGTGTTTCGTTTAGATTCGTTTTAACTATCTCATCAGAATATTTCGGTTCTGGTACTTTCAACCATTCATTCACATATTTTTTATTTTTAGTTCTCATAGATTACAAAAATGGTAACATTCCTAACATTAACAATCATTTTCACAAAATAAATCAGATCTGACTAGGTGGCAGTACCTGTCATATTACCGCTTGATACCTTGCACCCCAGTATCACTGTTCGTGAACCACCCTTCTTCAAACGGTTTCTTGACTGTTCGTTACATAATTCAATTAAAGTAATTTCATCCATAAAAAATGTAAGTAACGAAAGAACCCCGAGAACTGACCTCACACCCCTCAGCGCTCTCTCACTGTAAGAATTTTCTTGGTTGCCCTCATTCAGTGGTTTCGATTTCTGATATAACATATTTTGTTTTTGAAAATGAATCACGATTTTTATCTTTCATACTTTTTACATAAATCGGGATTATAGTTTATATGCAGTTTAGAAACATTTCTCATTTTGTCCAATATTGCTCAGTTTAAATTTCATGTCACTCAAGGCGACATCTTTGTTCTATTCGAAGAACCAAAAATGTAATGAATGTTCATACTTTGGAAATTCTTGTTAAAAAATAAATATCTCATATAAATAAAAAATCCCTATACAGCTTGATTGTCACCATCATAATGCAGAAATGCAATTGCTCTTCAATTTTATTGGGTGATTCTCAAATTGCCATAACTTTATCACTTTAGCGCATCTGTTGAAATTGACAAAACAGATTCAACAGATATATTCTGTAACATGTAAGAAATACACAGACTTGATTTGGAATGTTTGAATCGTTGTATTTTGTCGATAATTGTGGAAACTATTGATATCTAGGTAGTTGATTTTGAATGTTTTGAAAGTGTGGGATATTTGCTTTGTGACCTTTAATACTCACCTTGCCATCTTTATTTCAGTAGATGAACCACTGACGTGTTTTATTTCCTACTTTCAAAAACTTGTTGAAATATACCGTTGTTTGAAAACAAATAAAATTTTCTTCAAACAACATCTGTAGACATTGTTTGAAAGCGCTAAAAATGTTTTTTTGGAAAATTAATTTGATTTTGATAGAAGGTGAACAGTAATTGATTGAATTTGAAGTGTTTACGTCGACTCTACTAGTCCATAGGGAGTCAAAAATAATCGGAAATTAATAAATGGAAAAAATGAGATTTCTTTACTTTCATTCTTTTCCGTATTTTCCATTATTTCACCGCTATGAATTCATTACTTCTAATCCTAGATTAATAACTGTGGTTTAGTACGACTGTCGATTTCTTTGGCCGAAACATATTCGGCACATCTGATTTTGACATGGTAGTCGCTCGTTAATCATGCTTAATTTCAGGCCCGATGATTTCATGTTGCCAACAAACTGAATGTTTGAGAGAGCTTAGAATTTCGGTCAGTGTGTATTGGAACATTATTTCGAAAGGATATTCATCTTAGAAAATCAATTCAGAGTAGGTATCAAAAAATGTGATTGGTGGAGTAGAATTTGTAGAAAAGCTTTTTTATTTCATTAAATGGAATTGAAACAAAAACATAACATAGAATATGATAACGAACATAATATAATAACAATATGATAACAAAATACAATTAATTCGAAAAAATTAACAGCACAATAAATTCTAGCATAATATATCTTGATGATCTTCAAGTGGAGACGGTTTCACTTTTCAAAATAGTCACACTCCTAAAAAGGCAATTACCAGCGTATTGTTTGGTCAAAGAATTAACCAACTTGATAATAGCTATGTGAAAATTGAATCCGGGAAAAAGAAGATGGTATGATAAACTTCAAAACCGGCTCTGGAATCGACTAGAAACTATAATTCACCAAGAAACAGTTGAAATTGTCTAACCTGAACACCTAGCCAAGCAAGCTTCTTGAGTGGGAAAGTTGTTAGCATTTCCTTTACATCCTCCGTAAATGAATTGGACACAGGTTCCTACAGCAGAATCATATGCCCATCTAGGCTGATGGGCTTTGCATGGACCAACATCTATTGGTAAACTGCAGATATCTTTTGGATTATCTGTGGAAAGAACTGAACTGAACAAGAGGCGAAAAATTTGGTTAACAAACTTTGCTCTTACTTGTACAATGTAATATTAACATTTTCTAATTTGTTCAAGTAGGTGCTTTGGACAATGTTTTTGAAAGAACAAATGCTACAGTCCTTATTTGTTTTTGCTATTTATTTTTAAGTGAACTATGAAATAACTATTTCCAAAAATGTATGTTACTATGTAGTTGATGACAAGTTATTATTTTATGTGTGTATTGAAATTCACGAGGAAGGAAGAAGCAAGAACTGATAGTTTGGTAAGGCAGCTTTCATTTGTACCGCATAGATCGATCGTAGGTTGTAGTTACTTGATTTTGTCAGGCGTAACTAGAAAGTTATTAGCACTGAAAACATTTGTAGCCTCAGTTTTTGGAATACCAATTTGTATACGAAACATTTTGATAACCCTGCTTAACACACTGTATATGCGTAATAAATATGGCAGATTTACCTTTTTGTGCCGATGAATCGTCAAACAGATGCACAAGAAGAACAAGTAGGACCACAAATCCAGCTTTCAGCATATTGGCAGTTGCTCTAAGTTATCTTGGCGTTACTAAACAAAAGTAAGTTATAGCACTGAGTAAAATAACAACCAATAAATAAAACACCTGCACGACTGAATATATACAGATAATAAACTGTATTTTACCGGAAAAATGACGTAAAAGTTGTTTTCCAGCGACTACACATTCCTTTGCGAAATATAAACTCGTCAACAGTATTGCAGAAGTAAAAATGAAAAGCATACTTCATATGTACATGGAATGAAGTTTTTTTGTTGATACATCTATTTTTTTCGTTTCTGCACAAAATTAATGCAATGTAACATTTTGAGAATTTCGATTTTTGAAGTAGAACTTCTTTACGCGCGCCTGACTTGGGGAGTAAGCTGGCGAATGCGTGACGACGGCGTTACGAAAAGTGTGATCGGGAGAGGCGAACGGAAGTTGGGAGAGAGGTATCAGTTAGTGAAGATAGAAAGAGAGAGAGAGTTACGTTTCCTATATTACTATAGGGGGAAGAGAGGGCTCTGAAGAATTAGGGGAAAACTATCATACGTTGCCACTAATTTTAGCGGGAGATTTCAATGTTGATTGAGCCTGCCACAAGACATGGAACAACAATCGATGCAGTTTTCTCTAGATATTTTTTTAATTTTCATTCGAACACATATATATCTTATTTCTCATACCATAAGCCTATTGTTTTGGTCTTGTAATCAACCACAGTAATTACTGATTTATTCGATAATGAAAATAATAAATAAAAATCTATTCAAAAATGTTAATTTACCAATGAGAACCCATAACAAACTTAAATATTTGTGCAAAATTATTATAGATGGAGCTAAATGAGCTTTACTTTAGTCGTGTGGTTTAAGAACACTTCTTTTTTTCTGTAGATCACAATCACCGCATCCTCAAAATGATATCAGAGTGGTGTTTGTTATTTTGCCTCGTTTATCTTTAATATTCGTGGATTGGGTCTTTTGTCGATCCCGCAGATGAAGTCTTCGAAGAGGCTGATGCCATGTACCTCACTTATAAATTAATATTTTTCAGTTACTATGTCATGTGATGTATGTATGAACCTTTGTATATAGACTATTACAATGTATGGACATTTGTGGGTAGTGACATGACTTAATCATTCCAAAAGAAAGTGGGAAAACAAACATTTTCATCAAATTACATTGAGTCATCTGACAGTATTTTATGGATCATAATTCAATAAATGTTTCAACTTTTATGTTTTTATCTTATCTTAAACTCATTGTTTATGCGCTGATAAATATTAGCCGATATTTCTGGGCAAAATTTGCATGGCCATAAACAAAAATAAAAGTAACAATTTCAATAGAATTTTGTGGAAGTTCATTTTGAGTTTGAGCTGAACTCCATAGGAAATCAAAGAATCTTAGCATCTAAATTTATGGCACACAATCACTGACACAATAAAACGAATTGAGACGCTAAGAAAAATATTTTAATCATTAACAATAAATTAGATAACAAAATAAAATTAATTCAGGTAACAAAATTATACTACTAAAATTTGTACATTCGAAGTTTCTTGATCATCTCCGACTTGTAGTGGGTCGAAATTTTCAGAATAGTTACACCCCTAGAAAAAAAATTACAAATATGATAAAACTGATCAATACTTGATGAAAATCCAAAATACAAAAACTAGACACGTGTTTTGCTATACAGTAACATCTTCAGGCATCACAATACATAGTAACACAATACATAGTATCTCACATTGAAGTAAATTTGAATAAGAATTTGAAATAAAGATATCTGTTTAAAATATATAAGGAGAATATAGATAAAGCAAATAAGGCCTAAGAATGAACTTTACTGATCTTCATAAACATCATACATAACTACATTAGGCATTAGGCAAAATTTTTTTTACTTCAATTCATTTTTGGAGCGCATAGCGATGTATTGTTTTTGAATAAATGATTTTTTTTCAAAGTCCAACGTAAATAATAAAACTATTACAATTTTTCGATTCTACCCGTGTTTTGATTATAATTTTGAACAAATAGCTTACATATTTTCACAAACTTTTTCATGGGCAATGAAAAGTATGTACTATGAACACAGAATTTTGAAGGTATCTTCAATCGATTTCGCAAAATAATGACTTTCATAGGCGAATATTTGATACATTGGGTTGAATTATTGCAATTTATGTGGATATATCTATATTTTTGTCAAAAAAATACATCCCATACCTATTAGTCGATGTCGATATAGCTTTTCATAAGGTAAACAATTTTGAAAATTGATTATTACTTTTTGAGGTTATCCATTACTCTCTTTATGATATTTGTTAACACATTGTTTTTTTACTTGCCACTTTTGAAATTATTTTTCTCACCTGTGATGTAAAGATGGAGATAAAAACTTTTTATGCAAAGAAATGCATCATTATCTGAGAAAAATACCCGCTGCAGTGTAAATCAGTGGATAATATCGATGAGTAATAGATAAAAGAAGAGCAATGCAACTGGATAAAAAAGTAACGAATAAATAAGCTGATGAATATGAGCAAGACATGAACATGCAAAAAGAAAGAATTTGGGAAATATCACTGTTTCAACGACAACTTGAAAAAAATCAGTGGCGAGAAGGGCTAAAAATAATTCGTTAGCATGTGAATATTTTTCTTTTTTTCAGCATTACTTTACAAAAGTTGATAAGGAAACACTTCATGTGTAATCATAATTTGGCATTATACAGTTATTGGAGCAAATTATGCAGACACGAACTGGAAAGGTATCAAAAACCCATCGAAACCATCAAGATATAGTCTAGAACTACAACAAACCCAAATGAAATTAAAATCGACCAACCTGAACAAGTCGCCATGCAAGCTTCTTCAGTGATAAAGTTGTTCTCGTTCCCTCTACATCCTCCATAAGTGAATTGGTCGCAAGTTCCTGTAGCAGGGTCATACCTCCATCTTTGCATGTGGGCTCTGCATTCACCAGTCAATTTAGGCAGCCTGCACATATCTTTCGAGTTTTCTGTGAAAAACAAAGGTTTCAACTAGATAAATTATAAAGAATAACAAAGGCTGTTCATGATTGTCCTAATTTGAATCATTGTCACTGTCTTAATCGAATTGAACCAATGGAATCATGTATGAGGGTGCTCCCAGAAGTACAAGGCCTGACCTAGAGGTGGCGGTAGTTGTTTGAAAAATATAACTGTATTAGAAACTACATGATCTCTAAAGCATTTGTATCAAGTTTGAAGACGCATTGTTTCCTTGTATTTGTTTGGCAGCCATCGATAGCAAATGTTTTCCGCGAATTTGTGAAAATGGAGAAAATTGGTCATCGTTATGTGGTACAATACTTTCATTTGGAAGGTCTCAGCCCAACCGATATAAAATCTGAATTGGATTTTACTCTGTATGAGTCTGCTCTTCTGCTCCAAAATTTACCCTACAGCAATAAATCAATGAAAATCTTCCTAGATTAGCAATTCAACTGAGAGGTAGTTCAATAAAACATCTCATATAATATATTTTCTTGGATTTTTGTGCAACAAAGTTGCACAAACGAACAATCACATAGTAAACCCATTCAAAGGTGATCATTTTGTAAAAATAATATCTATCAACGGAGTGATATGATGAAAAATGCCTAAAAATAGTAATGAAGAAAAGAGAATTGAAAATTTCTATGTTTTTTACCACTTTTATAAAATTTCAAGTATCTTTTATTCATTATGATTTCCTACTAAGTAGTAACGGCTACATTCATCAATTTATTGTAAAAATAGTACCTTTTTGTATCGGTGAACCGGCAATCAAATGCACAAGAAGAACAAGTACAATCACAAATCCACTTTTCACCATCATGACAGTTACTCTCAGCTGAACAATCTGATATCTCTTGAATTTTCTAGACAGTAATATTCAAAACACCTGCACGAATGAGTATATATAGATGATAACCTGTATTATACCTGTGAAATGACACATCAGGTGTTTCCCTCTACTAAATATCCCCTGCCAGGTGATGAATTTGATCAAGCGAGAGTCTTGCTTACCGTGGTCTTTCGGAGAGGACAATGCACTCTAAAGAAGTTGAAGGTGTCACGATGAATTTAAACGACATGGTTGGACTTTCCCATTAAATAGATGCAGTCTCAACAGTTTGATAGTTATCAGTACTGAGGAAATTGAAGAACTCGTGAAGTAAAAAATTGACAAGAACATTGTCACGTATTAACAAAGTATCCAACTTGAATAACCTGCTAAGTAAAAATATCCTTGAACCCTTTGAAAAATTGTTCATGTTGTAAGTTCGTCGATAATGTCTTTTTTAGTTGAAAGAATGTTGAGTGTGAATCTTCGAATCAAGATATTTCCTGGAAAAATTCATGGGTGTGAAAACAGATATCAGAGGAGGTTGAATTAACTTTGATAGGCTTAGCATGAGTATTTTTCTGTCAGAAGGTGATACAGAAACTGAAAATTCTAAAAAAACTGCTGTGGTAGTGTTGGAAACCTTAAGAGATGAGGACATTTTGGAATATAAGGAGGAAACTTTGGAAACTTTCAGAAAGTGTCATTTATTTTAACACCAAAGAACAGAAAAATCTGAATTCAAACTGAGGTTTTGATCTAACAGATCCATATATTGTTATACTTTTATTTCTTATTTAGTTGGGATTTGTTTATTGAAAACTAACGTACAATATTTAGAATTGTGCGATATTCTGAGAATTCATATGTATTGAGCTATTCTGTAATTTTTAAAAATATTCCATCAATATGTCAAGTCCGATACTGATCAGTAATATCATATTTCATACGTCCACATTTTTAGATAACTGATATGAGTTCACCGACTCACAAGGAATGCTGTATTTTGTTATACTTTCTCTTGAATACATAACCATCATTGTCCTTCTAATTGACTGTGAATGATTTCGTAGTACTTATAATAAACTTTCATAAAAATACAATCGATATATGCGCGACTATTTTATTTGCAATTTCTTCATCTACAGATAGTAAATTCATGGTTATTTGACAACAACATGTTCTTAGGTTTCTGTTTATATCAATCGTATAGTGGGAAGTTTACGAGTATATATTTTCATCAGTCTCTATATCTGAAACTAAGTATTTCTAACGAATGCCATGGGATTACAAATGATTGTTCAATTATACATCAAAAATTTAGAGCAGAATTTGCCAAATTACTTTTTTTATTCATTATCATAATCAATCTATCGAAGTGTTTTCTAGGGAGTTTCATACGGGTTGAACATCGAATTTGTGAACATTACTTTGAATACTAAAATGGTATCCTTAAATGACAAACATATACCGTCGCGGATTATTGTTTAGGTTATATTTCAAAGCGATATTCACACAAAACATCAATAAATTATATACAATAAAGCTTCCGCTTGAATCACTACATTCATTTGTGAAAATCGTATGGTAGATTTTGAGTTTATCTCATTCAGTCTGACATATTAGACAGACAGACGCGAGAGTACTCTGTTTTATAATATGTAGTATCTATGTTATCTATGTATCTATATTAGATATTCCTGTACAATGGATTATTTGCTGACAAGTACTGAAAAATACCGAGTGAAACAAAAACGTGAATTGTTTTTAAAAAGCTTAAACACTAAGGGACTACCCAACATCTATTTTTTTGCATGTGAAATTAAATAATACTCCTGAAACAAAACAAATAAATATTTTCTTCCAATTAATTCAGTTTCCGTTGCCTCGAAACATTTTCAAGGCTACAATTTAAATAACCGATAATAACACATTGTGTCTATTTTAATCTGGGTTATTCCCATCCTGCAATATCTAGAATTATTGAATACGTAAAGTACGAATCCATTTGAATGAAATCGTGTGTTTTGCAATCACGGTATTTTCCCACCGTCCGCTATATCTCTGTGCAAACTGTGCAAACAAATGAAGTAGGCCTTTTCAATAATAAAATAGCCCGATCTTACATTACTTAGTGAATACCTTATATTTGTTATAAGACGAGGAAGACGACAGCTGATTCTCTACAGATAAGAGATACAAAAAATGTTGTATAATATACAGGGCTATCAATGAGTGCGCCGCAGACCAAATTTATGTTTTTTGAATGTGATGCCCAATATTTTTTTAAGCGATTGAATTCCTTGGATATAGCGCTTCTCCGAGGATATGAAGTTGTGTGGGTTTATACCGAGTGATTCAGGAGTTACGAAGTGAATCATGCTAAAATCTCAATTTTGATCTTTCGGAATGATACTATTTTTTCATATGATGGAATTGGCCGATACTTATGAAAATCCATAATTAACGTATTCAAAAAACACTTAATTGTGAGATTTTTCCTACCAATATGGTTCGTTTTCCTTATTTCGAAAAAAAAAAATGCGCCGTTGCCGAACTATATAATTTGTACCAGTATTTACAAACTTCGAACGATACGGAACAGGGTATAGCAATAGTTAATGGGGGAGAACACCAAAGGATACAATTACAAGTTGAAATAATATTTGATTTTTTCCATTCCCTTTCTATGATTCAATTCTGGAATAGATAATTTTCAGTGAAGAATGTATTCGCAATGAGTAACTAAAATGTTATATTGAATTAGAACACATCTCTGTTTTTGGGTTAAGTGGAAGAATATTTTTGATGGTGTTCGCCCTTTATTTTCATTGATATTTAGGATAGTTATCAGTATTTTTGATCTATTTTCTTTGTATATATTTATTCGAAAGTAATAAAGACGATTATTATTATTATTATATGTAACGTGTGGTTTAAATTCCATGAGTACCATGATCTACAGGGGCTATAGAAAGCTCTGGGTTATACTTCATCTAGTCACTCTTGTACCGGCCTGTCATAATGAAGGAGAAACCCATCTTGCTGAAACCTTTACGGCATACCCAGTCACAATCTGGTTGAATTTTCCCCGAAAATATTACTCCTATGAGGTGGCTGAACAATACAGTCCTACAGTTTATTTAAGTATTCTTAAATACTATCTTATTCATTCTGTAAAACGACCCGATAGTATAATTTGCGAAATTGCTTTAGAATCAAGTAGCTATCGAAAACACTTCTATTTAATCATCTCCTGATGATGCTAACTTGATTAGCGAAACGCGCATCAAGAATTAAGCATGTTTAATTTTTTCCTTTTGACAGTACCTTTCACGTTACTGCAAAATTCAAACTACAATCGTCAACCTTCATCTATTCTGCAGAATTGACGGCAATTCGTGAAGCGTTGCAATACATTAATCTCTATAAAATCTCTTAGTGTCTGATAATAACAGACTCATTGAGAGCAGTAAGCTCATTGAGTCAACTCTATCCTAGCCATCCGGTTCTGATGAAGTTTAAAACAGAAACTATTTTGTATTCACCAAAACAACATTCAAATACAACTTGTTTGGGCTCCCTCACATATCGAAATAGAGGGCAATGAGAAGGCTGATAGTTCAGCCATGGATGCCACAGAACTTCAAAAGTGTACAGTCAGTTACCTAGATATTTACAACAATGATCTAAAACCGTACAAAAGAAAAGCCGTATTATTCATAAGGCAGACGAAATGGAACATATCTAAAGCCAAACTTCCAGAAATCAAACCCACAGTACTACCATGGAGCAATCTACCTCAGAAAAAAAATATTCAAACACTCTCAAGGCTACGAATTGGACACCCACGCCTTAGTCACTCAAGAGATAGGAAGCCCCAACGTGCTACATCTATGGCAACGATACCATTCTATGAGGAATCTAAGAGGACTACTTCATATGAACTAAAAATTAAAATTCCCTCCATATTTTTTGTGTAATCATCTGGACGTCCATAAATCTCTACTCTAGCTGAACATTGGGTGAGGTTATGTAACGCATATGAAAACTGTTGTTTGAATGCTTTCACTTATCGCGTATTTGCATATAGGAATTCACTGACCTGCGTTCCAGTGACACCAAAACAAATCCCGCATGGATGTGTTTGTCTATGATGACGCATCGAGAAAGTATGAATGACACTTCTGATGACTTTTTTTATATAACACTGTGTACATCGTGGTTCATTAACATAAAGGCGATTGTTTGAAAGTGATTGGCAATGTTTCATGTTGAATTTCACTAGTTCGGACTTCCATTGTCTTCGAAACATGCAGAGGAAGCTATCCGAAGACGAGGACCTCAAAGATAGAACGAACTTACTTATAGAAGTCATTATTGAATTACTTGGATGTGTGTTTAGAACTGCTATTTCCCACTGAAGGACGAATTCTATACACAAGAAGAGGGTCTGATAATGGAATCGCCACTTTCACAAAATATGAAGAGGATTAGAATTCTGGTCATTAAAGAAACCCACAAGAAGCCCCAAGTCTGGTTGAGACACGTTGACTACACCTTCATAGTGGGGAACCACGCCACGTTAATACAGAACTGGACACTTTCTGAAGTACATGATAGTGAAACATTCCATTACCAACACAATGGAGAAGGAAGTCCACAATAAATTGCCTTTTCGGGCTCTGTAATACGAAGAAAGGTCTCGAGAAGGAACTAGGCATCATCAGAAAATATCTTCAATGGAACAAACTTTGGCTAGATTACTCACAAGGAAGAGAAGTCGTCACAACTAGTGCTTGTCCTTTCCTACATCAGAGGATTGATGGAAAGGTTAAGAAGAATTGGTTCCAAGTACATCAGAACCTGCTTTAGATCCGGAAACACCATCTGTAGTAGCCTCATGGAAACCAGGCCATCAAACGCGGATTGCGATTCCAAGAATTGCATTTACCGGATACCCTGCGACTGCGGCAAATCCTATATCGGAGAAACTAAGAGACCATTGAAAGTCTGAATTGCCGAGCACAAGAGAAACACACAGCGAGGAAAAACCAGCAAATTTGGAATAGCAGAGCATGTTTAGACTCATTAACATAACATCAAGTGGTGCCAAGCTGATATCATCTACAGCGAGTAACACTGGCTCAAGAGGAAGTTCAAAGAAGTTGTGTATAAATTGTCCAACGATGCATTCAGCTAAGCTAGTGTAGGATTACGGAACATATAGAAATCTGTAATCAAGCAAATTGTTTCGTATGGTACCAATACAAGTTATGAAATTTAACGTTTTTTATCGTTCGAGACACCAAAGCGAGTGATGAATTAACAATTTTATTGTTGCAATGAAAATAACAATAGATTAATGATCCCAATCTAATCTATCCTGATTCTACTTGCGATTAATGAGATGAACTAAAATCTATTTGGTTCACAGAATATGTCCCATGAATTTCGTTTGGCGGAAGGATTTCAGCTCTTCCATTGTTCATAGGAAAGAAGTTTCTTCTTTGCATAATCTTCAAATCTTCGTCAAGAGTTCATTTTGAAATTTATTGTTTTTTTTCATTTTTTTTTGAAAAATCATCACTTTTCTTGTATTAAGTTGAAAATAATGTCTCACTACGGCCGTCTCGGGTTTTCCCAGATAGAGGTCCTTGCACGCCCCTGCCCAAGTAAAAACAGCGGAAGGAGTGTCTAGTGGTCGACCGACGGCATCCAAACCTTTTTTTCTCAAATGAAATATATGTTAATTTCATTTTCTTGTTGTAAGATTTTCCTTCTTTCGGTTTTTTAAATTATCGTGTCGTTAATCTTTAATTGTCAATAATCTTTGTACCCATAAACACACCATGCATACACAAAAGCATATTTTCCCTCTCCCTCTATCAAGAATGAAGATTCAGTTATAGAATTCATCAAATTTATTATGGCTCATTCTGATCACATATAATATTAGTAAAAAGCAAGCAGAATCAAAGTAAGTAAGTGAGTCTGGTTACTCTGAATAGTCGCCTAATCGTCCAACCCTGGAATCCAATTCCAAAGTGACCTTACATTGTTTTTAGTCGGCTCAAAAAAATGTCTCACCACGGCCCGCTCGGGTTTTCCCAGATAGAGGTCCTTGCACGCCCCTGCCCAAGTAAAAACAGCGGAAGGAGTGTCTAGTGGTCGACCGACGGCATCCAAACCTTTCAGGACGGGATCCTCGTAGATTCCCCCCTTCCTCAGTGCCTCCCTCACCACAGAAGAACAATTATTCAACATGAGGTTGTATTCCTTGTCGTCCATAACTCTATTCCACCAGCGTTTTATCTTCTCTTGATCCACGATTTCGGGAGGCAGGTAGAGAACTTCGTCTGGTCCGCGGCCCTCTGCTCGGCGGTCATCTTCGTAGGTGTTTCCTCTGCTGGTTTTCTTCCAACGCGACTCTTTTTCCGGCCAGAAACTGATGTAGAAGCCATCGGATAGTTCCAGGGACAGGTGCCCCACGTTTGGCACTTTTGGCAGCCACAGTATAACTTCGATATCGGCTACCATGTTTGCTCTCGAACTGACATCATACAGCGGATGTTTCGGTTATAAATAGATTGGGTATCTGGAGGTATTTAGATATGGAAGCAAGGTTGCCAGCATCTGGTTTATATCGATTAGTTTTGATTGAATTAGAGTTCACAAGTTGCAGAGCGGTCTTCAATTTTTAAAATTTAATAATAATAATATAATTTGCTATCGCTCTCATTGATTTGTGACA